TGTGCTACCAAAGCTGCTTCTTGCATGCTGTACTTTAGTATTATGTGTAGGTCCATGTCGCCATACCTCCAGAAATTTGTACATTTATTCATTCAACAAATATTTGTTGAGTGCCTTTTACTTGCCAGTGCCAGGCATTATACTAGGTGCTAGGGATATAATTTACAACAAAAAGACAAAGCCCAGTGTACTAATGGAACTTATTTTTGAGTTGTGTGAAACAGGCAATAAACAAGTATGTACTATGTTTGGTGGTAATAAATTCTTCAAGGAAAATTAAGGAAAGGTAAGAGGGACTGAGGATGATGGAATGTGGGGAGTTCAGGAGTCCTTCTCTCACAAGTTAAACTTGTGACAGCTCTCTCCTCCTTTGTGTACTCAAAATACCCTATACTTTATCCCATATTAAGATTTAGTATAGTGTTTTGAAGTCATCTGCCCCAGAAGACTCCAAGACTAATTGAGGGCAGAAATTGAATCTTGTTCATCACTGCAACCCTAGGGTTTTGCACATAGTAGGTGCTCAAAAACTTATTTTTGTATGAGTGGATTTAGCTATTTAGGGTTTTTAAGAAGCTTCCATGTACAGTATTTTGTTATCTTGTCATCAAGTCTGTGAGGAAGCCAGAAATCATTTAGCATCACTTTACATATGACAACTGAAGCTCAAAGTGTGATATGCCCAAGGAAATCTTTTGATTTCTATTTCACTGCTATTTCCACTCTACCACAATGCTGAATTAACAACTCCACCCCAAGTATCTGAAGTTATGGAAAGTCAAATGTAAAATGTGCCACTAAAAGAATTTTCATCTAAATTTGATAGCTGTCTATACTTGTCCTCATGATTGGTCAGAATCTGCCAAGGCCTGGGAGGGTAGCTCTGTATGTTTCCATGCAAACACCTCACCCTTAGATACTGGGATTCATGTAATTTGCATGGCAATTCAATTGTTTTGAAACTGTAGCACCCCCCAAGGATGTCTTACAAATAGCTGGGTTGACTACCTAAGGGCCATCAGCTTTCTAAGGAATGCAGGGTTGAAGATGGGCAGGAAGGATTGTGGATGCTGCATGGCATGTCATGCTTTATTTGAGCCACATTATACTGACTCTGCCCTTTTTCATATTGTAGCAAACTAACTGATGTGAATATTGAATTCAAGCTAATTTTCATGGTACGTAAATTCCACTCATACTATCCTCTACACTCTGCCAAATGGGTATCATACAATACATTCATGTGCCAGGTACTGTTTTATGTTTCACATATATTGACATTTAATTCTCATAACCACCTTATGAGGTAGGTGCTATTAGTCCTATTTCACAGATGAGGAAATCGAGGCACAAAGAAATTTGAGTAACTTGTTGAAGGTCAGTCACATCATCCCTCATCTGGACTACAGTAGCTTCTTAACCAGTCTCCTTGCTTCTCTTGTCCACACAATAGCCAGAGAGAACTTTTAAACATGTCATTCCATGCTGCTGTTCAAACTTCCCAGCGGTTTTTTATATCACACTTCACTGTGGCCTATAGGTCCTAAGGAATCTAGCCTTTGCTTGTATCAACATCTCCTTCCACTCTCACCTTTGCTCATGATGCTCCAGTCAATACTGGTGTTTTTGCAGGTCCTCCAAAAGGCTAAGCTCATTTTCACTTCCTGTTCTCTTTGACTGGAATGCTATTTTCCCCATATCTTTGCAGGGCTTGCTCTTTCACATCATTGCCCTGTTCTTAGAAACCTTCTCCCTTCTCCCCATCACAATCCTCTCACCTCAGTTATTCCTCATATGCACTTACCCCTCCCTGACTTTATCCTTTTTATCTTGTTAT